GCACTTTGTTTAGCATTCTCTCTCTGTGTCTCTCTCTCTCTCTGTTTGTGTGGATGTATAAATATACATATATATGTAAACAATTCTGGTAATTGAGGTGAAGCGCATGGGTTTCAACTTTTGTTGTATTATCTAGTACAAATTATTTTCTTTTTTCTGTGCTCAAATTCTTCACATAAATGGAAATAATAATAGTATCTACCATGCAAGAGTTTTGAGAGATTTAAATGAGGTCATACATACCATAAGCCTAGCATAGAGCCTGGCACACAGTAAGTTCTCCATACTTAGTTACTGTGTTCACAGCTCTTACTGGAATCCTCAGCCTATAGATGAGGACACTGAGGCAGGATGAATTATATCCGGGGTTGCCCTCAGGAAAATGGAGCCTAGCTTTCCCCCCTGCTATTGCTGTGACACCTGTGTACCTCTGACCCAGAGCATTTCCTGCAGCTTCCAGGACTCTCTGGATGCTTGAGGGGGGCGGGATGAACCGCTGGTCAATGCCTCTTCTAAGAGGATAGACCCCTATATTGGCTCTGGCCCAGCCCACTGATGGAGGGTGGGAGCTAGGATGGGTCTCTAACCCTGTCACTCCCATTTGTTATGGTGGCCCTTACCATGGTCTCCAATTCTGAGCCAAAAGAGTAGCTTGATGGATAAAGGTTCTAGACACCTTGCAAACAGCCCCCTCCCCCCCGGCTTTTAGGGCCACATGCCAAGAATTGCTTATCCAACCTCATCTAGGACACTTAAAATTTTGGTGGGGAGGCCATTGGCTAGTCAGGAAACACAAGATGCTATGTCCTTCAGTGCTAAACATCTACCTAGAGCCTCAGATATGAAGCACACAGTGGCTGCTCTGGGAGACCTGGAGTGCCTCATGGACGAGGCCGTACCAGGCTGCAGCGTGGTGGTCTGTGTTTCTCGGAGTCAGCGTGCATCTTGCTGTGCTGCTTTATATCTGGCTGAGGGAGAATGAGGAAGTCACAGGGCAGCAGGATGTGAGACTGGAGCTTTGCTCCCTGGCCCCAAGGGGCTCCTGCAACTGAGAGGACAGTGAGCAGAGGGCCTTTGGTGTGAGCCATGCCACAGCTACAGTACTCGGGAGATCTCAGGACGGTGGATTGGCAGCCCAGGACAAAGTCCCTTTGGCCCAGACCCCAGAGCTCTCGTGGAGGTCCCGAGGAAAAGTCTGAGTGCAATCTCCAGGATCAGGTGGCCAGGGTTTAAATCCTGAACTGCCACTTGCTAGCTATGTGACTTTCGAGGAAGGTAGTCCACTTCTCTGTGCCTCCGTTTCCTCAACTATGAAGCAGGAAGGAACACATCATTTAACTGGGTGGAAGTTAAATGAGTCAATACAGTAGAATAGTACTTGGCACCTGATTAGCTGTCACTGTTAAGTGGCTTTGTGGGTAATGGACATGGGGGCGGGGTGGTAGTAGGGAGGCTGGGGCAGATGATGTGAAGAGGTCTGCCTACGAGTGACCTGCCCTGGGGGCTTCCAGAAACTCTTGGTGAGTAGAGTTTCTCAAGTGGAAGTCAGAGCCAGTGAAAAATCTGGCTCACAGTTAGTATGAGCCTCTTTGTCCCCCAGGTTTGCCAGGCACCTCTGAGATTGGTATGCTGTCCCCATGAGTTGGCTTCCAAACAAGGCTACTGGTCATAGGCCAGGGAATCCCTGATTTATTGTCAGACTGACTCTGGGGTCTGGGGCTGCACAGTGAAGTGGGGACAGGTTGGCACTTGCTTTCAGGCTCTGGACACTGTCACTGGAGCAAAGACTGAGAGACAATGGGAAAGGAGATTCTGGGAAGATCCAGAAACTGGCTATACAGGATTTCATCTGCTACAGGCTGTCGTCAGGGGTAGAACTGAGGGACAGCCTTGGGGAGGTGGATCCAACTCAACCAGGACAGAGGTGGCCAATCACAGCCCAAACTTCCTGTGAGATGGTGAGCCTCCTGGCATCAAAACATTCCTACAGATTCCCAAGACTCATCCCTGAAGATTCAGCAGGTCTGGGGTGCTCGAGAGCCTGCGGGTCCACAAGTTCCCTAGGTGATTGGTTTAGGGCTCATGTTACAGAGAGCTTTGCCTGTCTGGGAGGAGGTTAGATGTGATCTGGGATCTTCTAGCTCTGATGGTCTGTTATTCTTGGGTCCTCAAAGGCCCCAGACCTGTGTCCTGACAGCTTCAATCCTTCCAGAGCCCTTGGCTACAAACTCTTCCCTTTGCAAACTCTTTCCTTTGAGGGCCTCGCTATTTATGGGCCAACCCAGCAAACACTGCATGTGCGTGAATGTGCACACAGAGAGAAAACCAGAATCTAATCCCATAGCTCATGTGTTTTTGTGTGAGGAGGCTTCAGCTAGTTGCTCATGCCAGCGATGGGAAATGGGGGCTGGGGCCAGAGCAACCAGAACTAGGGCTGGACCCCGGGGAGCTGTAAACTCAGAAGGATGCAGAGTGGGAATTCACACGGTACCAGGACTTCCGGCTACATCCTCCTGGCCAGCCCACTTCCCTGGCTGCCTGACTTCCATTGTTCCTAAGCACTCAGGATCAGGCCCCTGGAGGCTTCAGCCCAGCTCAGGAGACTTGACCCTCCCCCGAGGCTGAGGCTGCCTTAAAAGCCCAATGTGGATTGTCTAGTGGATGCAATAGCAGCAGCATTTTAGCTCTTTAGTGGCAATACCTGATTGGTTTCTAGGAGAAGTCTGAGAGGCTAGGGCCAGGCAGTAAGGGAAGAGAGTAAAAGAATGTTGAATCTCATGCGGTGGGGATCTAAACTGTCTCAGCAGCATGGTCCCCCACCTCTCTGGCTATGTTGGGCTGTGATCTGGGATCCTCTACCTTGGATCGTCTATTATTCTGGGGATCCCCTAAGACCCCAGTCCTTGGCTACAAACTCTTTCCTTTGCAAACTCTTCCCTTTGAGAACAGAGTCCAGAGGCAACAGCTCAGTTGTCCTAGTTGACACAGGAGGAATCACAGACATAAAAAAGCAAACAGGTTGGTCTCAAGGTCTCAGGACTAGAGGCCATCAGAATTCATGCTATCATTTTGTAGAAATCTGGTTCTGGCTTGAGATCACAGGGATACTGAGCCTGTGGGAAACTAGAATCTAGAGCTCTTGCTGGTCAATCAAAGGTCTCCAACCCCTGCCTTTGCAGTAAGCCCATTGGTTCCTTCCCCTCCTAGACTTCCTCTAGAAACTCACCTTCACTCTGTCCTCGGGACCGGTACCTATGTGTAGCTTGAAGTCATGAGAGTTAGAAGGGCCAGAAGTACTCCTGAGGGTATGGTATGAAAGAACATCTCATGAAAAAAACATAGAACCAGGAAGACTAGAACTCAATAGAAAATGAGTTTATCCTCCCTGACAATGGAGCTGTGTCTTTGCTGATCTTTCATTTCTGTTTTTAGGAATGCTTTTATTCTTGGGGAAGCTCTTCGGGGGAGTTGCCCAGGATGGGAGAGCTAGATTTCACATGAGGATCTGATTCAGGGCACTGCCATTGTTGGTGAAGGGCTAAGGGTCGGGTGACCATCAGGAGAGGAGCCCAGGGGAAGTCATGACCTGAGGATCTGGGATTAGTCACGTTCCAATCCCATTGTGGTTTCTCCTTGTTGCCATTTCCTTCTTCAGTCCCCAAGCTCTTGGAACTTGGCAACCTTGAAGCTTGCTGATAAGCAAGGACCCACTCTGGCCCAAGATGTCCCAGAGTGGGCGTGGGGTGCTTGTAAAACCCTGAGCTTCAATCTGCAGACAGAGAGATGGGACTGGATGCACAGTCATTTAGACATTCAAGGAAAGGACACCTTGCCACCCCAAGGCTGCCAAGTTCTACAACATCTCAGACCCATGAACTTGGGATATGGGGATACAGGGACCATTCTTTTCTAAGTATTTGCTATCTAAGTTCCCACAGTCATGATGTATAAGAAAACAAATGTCATCATAACATGAACATATTCACTAGGAATCTGCCCATTTGGAACAATAACGCTCACTCATACATTCCTGCCTTGCTTAGCAAGTGTCCATCCCAGTGGTGCTGGTCAGTTTGGACGACTGTCAGATAGCACAGGACGATACAAGTTCAGTGCAAATCAACTGCAAAGTTCATGAAGTAAAGAAAACAAGGCTGGGAACCTTCATGTGCACAGTCTTTGACCAGCAAGGATCAGATGGCGCTGGATCAGTTAACAAATTAAGAAAAAATAATGAGGATGATGGCAAGACAGGTTCTTCAAAATTGGGTGGTTTGAATAGCAAAGAATTTAAAGAGATCCTTAGATGAAGCCCTTAAGTATTAAACAGTCTCTTAAGAAGGTGTTATAAAATAAATCTTAGGGAATGTGGCATCATGGGAACATATCATTTCGTTGGTATAAAAAAGAATAAACATATCAACACCCAAATCAACACTTGATTCTTTGTTCAATCTAAAAATTAGCATATAATCTACACTTTGTAATATATATAGCTAAAAACAACTTGTTTTCATAATTTCATTTGCTTGATGATATTATCTTCATTAACTTATTTTCCTCATGTCCCATTTTATAATAAAATTTCACTGAATACTCTTTTCACTATTTGCCATGAAATTTTGATCTCCATTTTAGGCTGATTCACTCTAAGTGGCCTTTGGCTGGTGCCCATCACCACCTCGATGTGACTGGACTCTCTGTGTGGCAGGTTTTCTTCTAAGCCTTTCTCCAATTCAGGAGGAGGCTGCGGGTTAGAGGGTTTGAATTCCCATAAAGCCTAGATGGTTCCACATGCAGGATGTCAGTCATGGTCACTTCAAATGAACTCAGGGTGATGTGTTCCTCTGTTTGGAAGCCACATACCTTCCCCAGGTACCACTGCAGACAACACAAGCTGCCTGAGAACCCCCTGACCTGCTGAGAGCTGAGGCTTCAGCCCAGGGCACTTGTCTTGGCCCCCAGCCAGGCTAGCCATGGGCAGGGAGGGGGGCACTTACTTGACTGGCAGGGCTCTGGGCTGCCTGTGGCTCTCCGGGGGGCTCCTCGTCCTCGGGAATGTGGGGCATGGCAGCCTCCTGGCTGGAGTGGCCGCGTGTGCCCGGAACCTCTGCTGCGTCAGCCCCAAAGATGCTCCAAGAGGCCTGGGCTCCGCAGGCTGGGGAGACGCCAAAAGGACAAGTCAAATTCCTTCCCATCCCTGTCCCAAGCTGGGTTCCATTTCCAGGAGCCAAGAGCCACGGAGAGAGCCAGCCTGAGTTTGCATCAAGCCTGAGGTCAAGCTAGGCTAGGAGAGGGCATTTGGAAGTGCACTTCCTCCGGCTCTCTGGCTTTGTTTACAAAGTCAGAGGTGACCTTTTGCATCTAATTTGGTCCTTACAGTAAACATGAGCTATTTCAGAAAGGAGAAAAGTGCTTCAAACTCCTCAAAGCTGTATCTCATGAAGGATACTCTGTTGGGATCAGGTTGGTATTTGTGCACCATTTATTGAGTGCCTACTGTGTGCCAGCCACTATCCTAGGAGCATGACTACCATCATCTGGTTGAATCCTCCTGAGGACCTCTGACATAGGCATTGATGGTGCCATTCTACAAAACGGACTTCCTCAGAGAATGGAGGCTACTTGCCCTGAATCACACAAAGAACCAAGCGTTTACATCTGGATCTTCCTGATTGGAGTCCTGGATTCTTTCCACTACACCACACAACCTTCCTTGGCAGTTTTCTGACCTCCTCCCCATGGAGAGAAGGACACTGTCATTTCCTGAGCACCTTCTAGGTCACAGGTTCTAGGTGAGGTGCTGCTGACTGCTAATTTGGTCAGCAGGAGGAAGAGCCAGAAAGCTCCACCACTTTCCATGATATTAGGTGTTCTTCTCGTCCACAGAAAGGGCTTGGAAAGGCGGAATCTGGCATCAGCCCCAGCTCCCGGACCCGACCCCTGCCAACACACACCTCCAGACCTCGCTCCCTGAGGAAGGCAAGGTGTCTGGCTCATTGCAGATATTCCAAAGACTCACAAAAAAATGGCTGTTGGTTTAAAGAACTAGAAACCTTCAGCCCTGGGATTTGTCAAGGTGACCACCTTCTTGACGGGTGCTTCTCTGCTCTTAATTCAATAGCCCCACTCAGCTCGGAAACGGTAGGGGCGACCCCTGCTGGTCACCTCAAGAAATCTCAAGTTCAGCATGGTCTGAACATCATTCGTTCTTTCTCTACAAACACAATTTGCTGGGTCTGTGCTAGGCACTGTGACACCAAGATGCTGAGGACGTGGTCTTGGCCCCCCAGGAGCACGGAGTCCAGGGTTAGAGGCAGTCAGAAAACAGCATGATGGGGTAAACACTTTGGCAGTGACAAACCACAGGAAAGAATCCCTATCTTTGGAAACTGGGAAGGAGGACGAAATGTTAGTGAAGATTCTACTTTAGAAATAGTGCCAGGAGTGGTGGCGCATGCCCATAATCCCTGCATCTTGGGAGGCTGAGGCAGGAGGACTGCAAGTTCAAAGCCAGCCTCAGCAATTTAGCAAGGTCCTAAGCAGCTCATCAAGACCCTGTCTCTAAATAAAATACAAAAAAAAAAAAAAAAGGGCTGGGGATGTGGCTCAGTGGTCGAGTGCCCCTGAGTTCAATCCCTAGTACCCTGCCCCCCAAAAATAAATAGCGTTTGAGCTGAGCCATAAATACTGAAATGCAAACGGAATCTATCTAGACAGAATAGATGAGATTAGAAGAAGAGAGGCCACCCGTGCAGATTTAACCTGGCTCTCAGGAATGAGAGTCATGGGGCCAGGGCACTGTGTTTTCCATCCCAAGGGGCTACCATATGAATACATTGAGAGGTTCTCCCAAAAGTGAGCTCTGTGGCTAATTTCTATCATCTTTACGTGGAACTCAGCAGTAATGATGTCAGTGATACCTAGTAAAGTATTTGGTAGCAGGGGTTATATGGTCATAGCACCACAGCAAAAAAGTATCCACAATCCCCAATTCTACTAACAAAGTTGGTCTTATCTCCCACTCAAGATTTGCAGGTCCTGGGTATCTTGATAAAAGTATGGTTTCCAAAACATGGGAGGTAACTGTTCCATCTTTCCTTTAGGTCTTAAACTATAAAAAGTGAATTGTGCTCCATAGCATAAGAAGGACTCAGACAAATTAGGACATGTTCAGAAAAGGGGAAGCAGGATGTTAAGAGGACAAGAACTTGTGTTTAAAGAACTAGAGGACTTTGACCTGGACAAGAGAAGGTACGGGGAAAAGTGTAATCTCTTCACAGAGGTTTGAAAGGCATTCATTTGAAGACTGTTGTTCCCCAAAGGACAGGTGCATGACCAGTGACACAAAGGTCAGAGAAGGAGGGCAAAGGAAACCTTGTAGTGTCTGGACTCTCTGAAGATGGAACAGGGCACTCTTTAAGGCAGAGAGCTCCCTAGTCCTGGGAGAGTTGCGGTAAAGGCTGGCGCAGGGGCCACAGGATTCCCAACCAATGCCAGGAGCTTTCCAGTCCTGACTTCTGAAATCCTGGACTCTTCTTAGTCACAACAAACTGCAAAACCTGAGGCTTCATCCCAGAATTCTGGAATCACGACATTCCACCATCACATCAGAAAGACCCCGATTTTAACCCTCTATATCCCTTCCCCGTCCCTCTCTTCACGAAAGTCCCTGGTCAGCAAAGCAAACAGCAATGACTGAAGATGGTCAAACACTGACGTAGCGGCCTGCTGCAGGAGGAAGGCAGAGTGGATGGTGGCTGAGGTCCCACCCTTGACAAGGTGGAACCCAAGCTGCTCAGAGGAGCCCTGGCAGCCCTGCCTGCAGCCATTCCCACGCTGCTCCGGCCCTGTTTGCTTTCTCTCCCATCCATTATTATAAACTGGCTGCTTAAAATAGCAAGGTAGAAGCCGAGTCCCTCCCCCAGAGTGACATCTGGGTTCCGCGGGAGCTCATGGGCACATGGACCTCACATTCATCACAGCAGAGTTTGGAATACAATCTCCAGGAAGTGGTGATCTAGAGCACCAGCCCAAAAAAGGAAAAAACATTTGGTGATGTTTGGTCTCCCTGCAGCTCCTTCTTTAACTGGCTTCCCGGCCCTTCTCGCTCTCTCTCCAGCTGGGTCAGGAAAGGGTTAGATGGGACTATCCCAAGAACCAATCAGCTCTTTGAACTCCATAGATTATGCCTCTAGCCAGTGCTTAAATAGAACCTGGCCCATTTAACAGGAAGAGAAACTGAGGTGCAGAGAGGAGATACAACTTAACTGGGTTTAGTAACCTTTTCTAAAAGTGCAAGTTACCCAAGAGCCTCTTCTGGAGTAAATTTCCATCATTTGTATAACTCAAGAGGCTAGAAATACCACTCTTAAATATGCTTATCTGCCCCTGTTAGTGGAACATACTCTTGTTCATGCCTGCATGCATCAGATATTTCTAGGTTTCCCACTTTGTATGAGGCCCTATGCTAGGTACATTTCAGGTGCTACTTTGCTATTTTGTTTAACCCTCATGGAATAGGTTGGATTATTCCCGTTGAAGATATTCAAGAATGAAGACTTAGAGAGGTTCAGCAACTTGCTCAAGATCACACAGATAGCAAATGGCAAGAATGATAAACCAGGCTCGTCTGACTCCCAGGCCCGTCATCTTTCTCCTCTGCCTTCTCCACCAGGAGTTCTGCTAGAGTGTAGCAGAAAAGCCTAGCACAGGTGCCCCACAACCCGCTGAGAACCAGAGCATCAGCTCCCAGGGGCAGGGAAGGGGAAGCAACACCAGCACCTTGGTTGCCAGTCCAGGGGTCTTCTGAGCGCAAAAGAGTGGGCCACAGTTTGAGGTTGCGTGACCCCCACTGTGTGGAGCTACAGGGGTGTTCCTTCATCCTTCCGTCCACTGCGTCAGCCATACACTCCCCCCTCACCTCCTGACTCTTCCATTCATACCACAGGTTTGTTCATCCAACCATTCACCCCAGGAAGTCCCACTCCAGGTCAAGAGCACAAGCTGTTCCACAAGCTGCAGAGAAGAGCTGCTGCACGGCCCTGTGGGCTGCCGGAGAGGGCTGCCATGACAGAGTGACCGTGCAAGCCCCAGTGTGGCCAGCCACAGTCACCATTACAGATGAGGAAACAGAGGGCCCAAGACTTGCCCAACCTCACATGGTCTCTGAACGGCACTGCAGATCTGTCTGTCTCTCCAGCTCTTTGTGGGGCCCTCTGCCTTGTGAGTGGCATTCTTGGCAGGCAGTGGCCTCTCCCAGAGCTGTGTGACCAGCCCAGAAGAGATCAAAGCCCTCTCTGAAACCACAGTGTCCCAGGAGCACAGCCTGTGTGCCATGTGGCTCAGTCTCTCTGTTAATTTCTGTCACTGGGAAAGAGCCAAGAAGCCAATCTGGGAAAGCAGGGGTTAACCGGGCTCCGCTGACCTTCGTGGAGTGACTCAGTCTGCTCAGAAGGGAGGACTTTGTTCTTCCAGCTTGGGATTTTGCTTTCATTTAGCACATAAAGAATGTGAGAGCGATTAGGCTGCTATTAATATCTGGTCTAGCTCTCTCTGGATGAGGAGCTGAGGCAGGGGATTGCTTGGGGTAACTGTACACATATTTCTCAACCCCTCTGAAAATCCAGAAGGGACAGGGAGGGTTCCTGGAGATTTGTCAGTGTTTCCTCTGCTCCCACTTCTGCAAACGGGGAACTGAGACCAGACAGGGATAAAGATTAGACCAATGCCATGCCTGGGAGGCAGGCAGCATCCGAGAAGGCCCCCCAACTCCTGGCCCCTGCTGCCCTGGAAGTTTTCTGGCATCTGATTTTGGAGGCTGAGCTTGCAACAGATAATAAGCAAATGTACTGGCACCAAGAAGCAGCACCCCCACCTTCCTTCCCCTCCAGATCTGTCTCGTGCTCTTGAGAAGGAGGACGTTCCTACCCCGCCTTCACCTAGGGCAGACTTGGAGAACATCCTTGGGCACTGGAAAAGAGCTCGAGGTGTTGGGAGGTATTTCTGTGGTTCCTGGGCCTGGCCAACGGTAGAGCTGAGTCCTGTATCCCATAAATGTGCCCTGGTGGAGGCCCACCCCAGGACACCCACTCACTTCCTAGTCTTGGGAGGTCCCAAGAAGGCTTGAGAGCTAGACAGACGGAGCTGCAACTCTTGCTCTGCCTTTTCCTTGCTGGGTCTGTCTTCCCCAGCCTCAGTTTCCTCATTTGTCAAATGGAGGTAGTAGTACCCACCTTTTAGGGCCGTCGTGTGGATTAAATTAGGAAGTGCGTGCAAGGTGGCACACAGCATGTACTCCATAGGGTCCTTCCCACGCACTGAGCAGGCTGCTGAGTTCTCTCAGCCATGGCATCACGACCCAACCACGGCCCCGATGTCCTGCAGTTCATCCTAGGTGGCTCAGAATCCCCTGGCTGGTCTCTTGCAAGTCGAGGAGAAACAGTCCTGGCCTGGCCATGGGCTTCTCATCTGTACAGAAAAACAGATACCACATCATCAGACAGGCCTGGAATTAGAGCCCTCAGAGGCCATGCCATGCCCTGTGGATGAGGGTCCTTCTGCAAACATGACTGGGCTGGGAGACCAGAGCACAGGGCTGTGGACAGCCCAGGTCAGTGCTGGGGTCAGTCCTGGGTCTGTAGTGTGGTCAGTCCCAGATCTGCACTGTGATCATTCCTAGATCTGTAGTGTGGTCTGTCTGGTTTCACATCCAGTTCTTTCTGCCACCCCTGTGGTGAGGGTAGGCCCCAAAGGACAAGAGGTTTCTATCCACAAGTAAGAGGCGTGACCTAGAGCAGGTCCTGTCCTGGAAGAGCACAGGGCACAGTGCTGGCCAGTAGATGAATGACTGCAGAGGACATCACCACACCCAGTTGTTGGTGGGGGCCCTAGATTCTTTCAGAAAGCATATTTTGCTTGTAGGGCAGAATGGGGTTGTAGGGAGGGGTGGAGAAGGTGGAGGAGTGGGGAGAAGGCCTCCGGCAAAGAGAGGGAAGGATGAGGAATCGGAGGGCACTTTCCCCAGGACGTGTCCCTCAGCACCACCTCCTGTGGTCCATTGGCTGGAGCATAGGGCCTGACCCCAGCACCCTAGCTCCCTGGGATCTGCCCCTCTCTGGGAAACCTTGCAGGACCCAGTGTCTCTGGCCACACTTTTCACTCCCACAGATCTCTATAGTGGGCTGGGGGTTCCCAGAGAGAGTCCACACCTGCAGACCAGAGCCAGGCCACGTAAGGAGAGGCTGGACCAGGTCCTGGGGGTGCTCAGCTGTGCAGGGGGCTGGGAGGAAGTGCACCAAGAGAAGTAAATAGCCATGAGGCCCCTCACTTCCCGGGGTCTTCCTTTTCCCCAATGACCCTTATCTCAGGGCCTTGGAGACATCATTGTGCCCACTGCCTTGGGGACCCTGTAGCAGCAGGAGGTAGAAAAGAAACAGCCCAGTCCTACCTTTTAGGTTTCAAAGGGATATGGAAAGGGTATAAGACACAGAAAAAAAGGATTTGGGAGAAAACATCCCAAGTAAAGGTAAGCCTCTCTCCCCAGGACTAGTATAGGATTGTGAGGAGAGGCAGCGACAGGGCAGACTGGGATGTCCCCAGAAGGGGCCTGTGCCTGCTTCCCTTCCTTGGGAAAACCCCAAGCTGAGCCCAGTGACCTTGCATCCCACTTCCCAGCCAGAACCTCAGGGTGAAGCCCCCAGTGAGAGGGAGTGGCCGCTGGTATGTCTACATAGGCCTCTAGACAACCTCACAAGGCCTTCATGTTCCAGGGGCAGGGGACAACACAATCATTTCTGTGGACCCAGGATTGGAGTTGCCAGATCCCTAGGTGCCCTGAGAAGGATGATTCAGTGACCTACTGACCAAGAACTGCTGGGGAGGTGAGGGACATGTTGTCAAATCAGGAGAGGTGACATTGTCCTCGCCCTGGTGCCCTGGTTCTTAGGAAGCCCCTTGGAATTTAGATATCTTCTGGAGAAAGAGAGGGGTTGAGGAAGCCCCGAAATGTCTGACATCCAGGTCCTGTACTCCTTGAGAAGCGGTCAAGTCAGGGTCAGTCTTCCCTTCCTCCCTCTCTCCCCCTCCCCTGGCCATGACAGGAAATAAGCCAAAACATCTCCCCAGGTTTCCTTTCCAGCTTGTTCACTTCAGCAATTCTTTTTTAAAAATAAGTCCACTTGAAAACATTTTTTTCTTCTTGGAAATATGTGCAATTGCTCAATCGGAGGCAGTTCAAAGGCGCCGGGAACAGCAGAAAAGTATCTGAGTCTCCCATTTAGCTCTAAGCAGAAATAAATCTTGCCCAGTTCGCTTTGTTCCAGGCCATCCGTCCGGCCGGCAGCCTCTTCCCTGAGTCACTCACTGCGGGGTGACATGAGTCATCATCTCTGGGGTCAAGGACCACACGGTATTCCTGGGTCTGAGACCCCATAAAGGGCAAGGCCCCAAGGGGTCACCACAAAGAAATAGAGGCCAGAGAGCTGCTCCTAGGTCTGGGCTCCATTCTGCCTCCCTAGGCGTGTAACCTTGTGAGACCCTGAGCGTGGAGGAGTGGTAGGCAGGTTTCTAGACCTTTCTACCTCCCACTTTGGAGGGGCCTCCCAGTGGGGTGCAGGACCCTGCTTGTACAGTTCACAAGGCCAAAGGTAAAGTTTCTAGGAGTTTTGAAAGCTGGCTGTTAAACACATTATTAAAAATTAAATCAGGTTGGGTGCAGTGGCGCACACCTATAATCCCAGCAACTTGGGAAACTGAGGCAGGAGGATCGAAAGTTAAACCCAACTTCAGCAACCTTAGCAAGGCCCTGAGCAACTCAGTGAGCAAGACCTTGTTTCTAATAAAATACGTATTTAAAGTAGAGGGAAGGGGGGGATGTGGCTCAGTGGTTAAGCACCCCTGGGTTCAATCTTTGTTACCAAAAATAAATAAATAATTCACACAAACTTAGAATTTAATAAGTTGCACTAAAAGAAATAAATACTCAACCACTTCCTTCTCATTTTCCTAGGTTTTACTATGATCTAGGACTTTGAGATGACTGAAGAGGGGACACACTGCCTATTGATGTGCACCACACATCTCTTAGCTTCATCATCAGTGATGTCCACTTAGCAATTGGTATAATGAAAGTAGTGACCTACAGAAGGAGAAAATGCTAGGCAGCAGGGCCCCTCTTCCTCCAGAGAGCTGCCTGTTAAACATCTGCCACCACAGATCCAGTACTCCCAGACCCCCTGTTTCTTGCTCCTGTCAGGGTACAAAAGGAATACAGAATACCACCCTGCCACAGCACTGTGATGGAGATTTTATGCCAGTTTCCTTTGGACAACGCTTCCCAAATGTAACATGGGCCCCTCCCACGGGAGTCCATTGCTTCTTGCCCTCCCCAGCCCACTGCCCGGGTGCTCTAGTGCATGGCACCAAGCTAGAAACCCGAAGCCATCATGACCCCGCCATCTCCATCCCTCTCCACGTCCCATTACATTCCAAGCCCTGCCAATCCTAGCTCAGAATTACCTCCGATCTCTTCCCTGTTTCCCATCCTGCCATCCCTGCCAGGGCTCTGTGGGATCTGAGTCACTGCAATAACTTTGCTGGATTCCTTACCTCTGGTCTGGCTCCTTCCAACCACCCTCCACAATGATGCCAGAGCAGTCTCTCTAAAGCATAAATGAGACTGTCCTTCCCTTTTCTAAAATTTTTGAGTTTTGTACCAGTTCTGAGCCAACCTCAGTCTGTCTGCATCCTTATCACCTCTTAGAGCCGTGGCACACCTTGTGCTCCAACCATAATAGACCTAAGCCAACCTCCAAATATGCCCTGCTTTTTAAAACACACTTTGCATGTATCCTTTTTCCTATGCCTGAGCTGCTTTCCACCCCCATTCTCTACCTAATGAACTCATTCTTCAAGACCCAGTTCAAAGATACCGTCCCTCATAAACCCATCCCTCCTCTTTTCTCCAGGAAAAAAGTTATTCCTATCCTGTATTTTTTTCCTATTGCTTCTGTGACCCCACAAACTTGGTGCTTACAACCACACAAATTTATTATCTTACAATTCTGGAGGTCAAAAGTCCAAACTCAGTCTCAGAGAGCTAAAATCCAAGTGTTGGCCAGGCTGGGTTTCTTCTGAAGCTCAAGAGGAAAATCTGCCAGCAAAGGAACTGGCATCTTCTCTCCCTGCCCTCTGCCTCCATCTTCACATTTCCTTCTCTGAATTTGACCTTCCATCTCCTTTTTCTGAGGACTCTTGTGATTACCCTGAGTCCACCCAGATAACCCAGGGTAATCTCTCCATCTAAGCATCTCAGTTTAATTATATTTGCATAAGTTCTTTTGCCATTTAAGGTAAAATCCTTAGGTTCCAGATGTAGACATCTGGGGGGAGGGGGTTACTTAGCCTACTGGACTCTTCTCCCAGAGTATTTGGCACAGACCTCACCCCACCTTGACAACAGGGACCATGCTTTACTCATATTTTTTTATGTTAACCCTTATAAATATTCATCATTTAATGACCTATGTCCAGTACGGGGTCAAAAACAGAATAGCTCCTCACTCAATATTTATCAAATTAGTGAATGAATAACAGCAGATCTCTGATAAACAGATAAGAAGATTTTCTGTGAAAATAAGATTCATGCAGAAATAACACACTCAAATCCTTTCAGGGCCAGGCAGGCACAGTGAATGACAGAGCCACCCTGGAGAGATGGGGACAGTGGTAGGACAGAGAGTGCAGGTGCCATTGAACTGGGGCAGCTACCACTTTGTTTGGGGGTCAAGAAGAAACACCATTTTTTGTTGACCAAATCTCCCAAGTTTCCAAGAAAAGACCAAACCCTATAGATGTTAAAAATAATATCACTCAAAGCCAACAGAAAAATTTAGAGAAACAACAACAAAAAGTTTAGAGAAATATGAAGACCAAACAGATCTTCAGGGAATTCCTTCTGTAGCGGCCAGTTGCCACCTTTGATTTTATACACTAAAATATGTCCCTCTGGGCCTTCTTCGCTAATGAATCTAATTTAAATCAAGCAGAGTCATCTGTGAGCTCTCTTCTGGCGGGGCCAGTGAGCTAAGCAGAGACCCATCCTTCCTAAAGATTGATGATTCCCCATTCTGTCCACATGACTCCTGTTCTCCGTGCAGTTTGTGACACTGTGGGTCTCTCTTTGTCTCTGGTCCCCAGAAAAGTCACCTGAGGAGACATCCTTTGGTCTGTGTCTGCCTCAAACCTTCGTTGGACCCGGAGCACTCTCCAAGCAAAGGACCCCTGCACTCACTTCAGTGGTCATGCCTCATGCCTATGAAAACGCCATCCTTCCAAAAGCAGCCCCAGAGAGATAGCAAACTAAGGCACAAAAGAACAGCAGGGATTGGGAGTGGAACAGACCAGGCTCCCTTATGGCTCTGTCCCTTGCAGCTCAGTGACCCTTGGCAAAGCAATGAACTTCTCGGGGC